CCCCCCGCCCTCCCACGTGCCGCTGGGGTTGAGGTCCCACCCCGTCACCCCCTGTCTGCAGGGAGCTGAGGCCCCCACCCCATGTCAGTCTTCAGAGAGGTCAGGCCCCCACCCCGTCACCCCTGCAGATCGCACTTTACCTGTCTAGGCAGTTCCTAGAGATAAAACCCTGCCCCAACTCACCTGGCCCAGCCCCGGGGCACTTTTTCCCTGGGAGGAGGCCCCACCATTTCTTGGCCCTGCCCGTCCCACGTCTATTTCTCTCTGCTGCCCTCCCCAGGCCAGTAAATTGTTCAACTACACACACTGGCGGCGCCTGTGCGACACTCTCTTCATCATCTTCGCACTGGTTTTTTTCTACACTCGCCTGGTGCTCTTCCCCACCCAGTGAGTCAGCCCTTCCACGGTGGGGGTGGGGGGTGGAGGTGGCTGAGATGCGGGTCTGCCTCACCGTCAGTTCTTGGGTTCCCCAATCCAGGGAACTGGGGTTGTTGGCTGGGAGGTTTCTAGGAGGAGGCAGGGAAAGGCGTTTCCAACACAGGACACAGCCTATGCAAAGGCAAACAGAGCCCTGGGCTTAGTCATCATCAGCCCCGGGTGCCTGGAACATGCACTGGGAGACCGGGTCGGGTCCCCGTTTGGTCAAGTCTTTGCCTGGGAATTTGCTGAGCCTCCCACTTACCCCCCTTTCACGCCAGCAGAGGGAACAGCGGGAAGGTCCTGTGGAGCTGACACTGGTGGATGCAGAAGTGTAATAGGCAAACAAGTGGGCCACAGAATATGTGCAGCAGTGATTGTGCTAAAGAGAAGAAAAGTCAGGAAGGGCACAGGCACTGCGTGGAGAGTTGGAATTAAGGTGGTCGGAGAAGGCCTCACTGACAGTATTCATAGAGGCAGGACCGTGTCCAGCATGTTGGAAGAACAGACAGAAGACCCCTGTGGCGGAAGCAGAGGGAGAGAGGGAGGAAGTGAAGGCAGAGTGTGGCAGGACAGAGTATGCAGGGCTTTGGGGAGAAATTGGGTCTTTCTCCCAAGGCAGGTGGGAGCCCTGAGCAGAGGACTAGAGGGACCCGATGTGAGTTCTCACAGGCTCCCTCTGGCGGCTGCAGGGGGAATAGCTGGTAGGAGGCTGGGGCTGAAGCTGGGGGCCAGGCCCAGATGACAGCACTGGTCCAGGTAGCCAGTGATGGGGCAGGACCAGGGCAGGTGAGAGAAGTGTGTGGGCTCAAGGAGATGACTCGAGGGTTATGAGATGGGAAGGGAATGGGGTCAGAGTTGTTGCTTGAGAAACAGGAGCTTAGCTGTGACTGTGCTGGGTTTAAGGGGCTGGCAACACCCCCAGTCACCACCACAGCCACCGCAAAGTGGAGGAAGCGGTGGACACTAGCCTGGGGTCCTGGGGAGAGGGGTAAATGTTCAGTGTTTTCATCCACGAGACTGGATGGGGTCACCGGAGACCAGGTGTTGACAGAGAGGCCCAATTCTGGGGTTGCAGGTCAGGGGAACCTGCAGAGGAGATGGAGCGGGAGCGGTCATGAAGTGGGGACCTGGGAGTGTGGGTGAAGGCTCAAGGGGAAAGAGCAGGGCCAGGCCAGGTGCCTCTGCTCTCTGATCAAGGCAGGTCACTGATGACGCTGCAGCTGATCTGAGTGGAGGTGGCAGTGGGGGAAATGACGGGGGCCTGAGAAGGTGTGAAAGGACCACCCAGGAGAGCTACTGGGACACTAAGCTCCCCCTTGGGGTTCATGCTTGTGGCTAGCCAATCGGCCAGCTTGTGCATTCTATGAGTTTAATATAACCAGGTGAGGGGATGAGTAAACTGCCCAACTGAAGAGCACAGGCATTATTCTTTGGTGGGAGGAGGGTAATGGGGAGCCATAGAAGGTTCTAGAGCAAGAAAGGTCATGCAAGTTAAGAGATTCCCAGGACTGGGTGCTACAGCAGCCAGTAAAGCCCTGCCTCTCCCTCCCGCCCACCCACCATAGGATCCTCTATACCACGTACTACGAGTCCATTGCCAACCTGGGCCCCTTCTTCGGCTACTACTTCTTGAACATACTTCTGGTGGTTCTACAGCTGCTACACGTGTTCTGGTCTTGCCTCATCCTCCGCATGATCTACAGCTTCATAAAGAAAGGCCAGGTAGGGAGTCTGGTGGTTAAGACTCCACGCTGCCAATGCAGGGGGCGCAGGTTCAATCTCTGGTCGGCGGGACTAAGATCCCCTGTGCGGTGCTTGGGGACAAAAAAAAGTTAATTAATTAATAAATAAATTTTTTAAAGGAATGAAAGACCAGGTAGGGTCGGGGTGGTGTTGGCTAGCGGCATGCCTTCCTGGGGCCCCAGCCAAGCCAGTTCCCTGCCTCCTCTTCCCCAGATGGAGAAGGATGTTCGCAGTGACGTGGAGGAGTTAGACTCCAGCGATGGGGAGGCGGCCGAGGAGTGTCCTCAGATGAAGAATGGGGCGGCGCAGCAGTCCGGAGCAGCCCCCACTGACGGCCCTCGGAGCCGGGCATCCAGTCGCATGGCCAACGGGCACACACCAGACACGTAGCCGGCCAGAGGACTGGCCGCGAGGGGGCCCCCAGCGCCGGGCAGCTCCGATCTGTGGGGCAGCTGGACTGGGGAATCTCGGGCAGGCTTTGTGGAGACGGGGAGGGCCCCAGGTGGGTGGGGCTGATGATCAGTCTCCAGCCCCTTCCTTCAACCCACCCTCCCGCCTTCTCTGAGCAACCGACGAAGCTGCGGGAAGGGAGGAGGGGCGGCGGGCAGCTACACGGACGCTGCGGCCCGCCAGCGCCACCTGCAGGCTGCAGCCTGGCAACTGTGAAGAGCCCCGGGCGGAAAGGGGTCCAATAAACCTTGACCCGAACCAGCTTCTCTGCCTGAGAGCTTGCGTCCCCCTTACAGCTCCTTATCCATCCCCAGAGGACCCAAGGCAGCCAGGACTTGCGTACTCCACCAGTGGGACCTTCAGTGCCACCCCAAGACACATGCTCACCTCTTGGGGACCCAGAGAGCAAGCAGGGCGTAGGGACCCCCTTGGGTGAGTCCCCGACTGCCAGCCAGCGCCTGAGCCAAGCCATCTCCTCCTACACCAGGGCAGCCCTGCATTAGCTCCTCACAGACCCTGAGTGCAGATGAGCAGGTACTGAGCTCAGACAGGTGGAGTCCTTTGCCCAAGGTCACACAGGCCCAAGCAGACGGGCAGAGGGGAGACTCACGCCTGTTTCTGCAGCTCCCTCTCAAGGCCATCCTCAAGGTCTCCAGGACCTCCCTGGAGACAGTGAAATAGTGGGGGGGGGGGGGGGGAACTTCCCGCAGGCTTCCTTCTCAAGGGTCCACCTGGGAGAATTCAGCATCTCCTTACAAGATATGCAGGAGGGTACCCCCACCCCAGTGCCCCAGAAATCATAGCCACAAGGTTCCATGCAGGACCAGAAAGTGCTGCCTCCCGGGAACACCAGAGAAGGGGTTGGAGAAGAGAAAGGGTAGGGGAACCGATCTTGCCTTCTGTGCTTCTCAGCAAAGCGGAGAGGATGGGAGTAGGAAGAGATGGCAAAGAGAAGAAAGGCTGCTGCTCTGTGTCCACTGAGAGACAAGGACAAGGGGAGAGGAGGGCAGAGAAAAGAGAGTCATGTGATCCAGCAACCCCAATCCCGGGCACATATCCAGGCAAAACGAATTCAAAAAGATCCGTGCGCCCCTGTTTATAGCAGTACTGTTTACAGTAGCAAGACATGGAAACAACCTGAGTGTCCGTCCACAGATAAGTGGACAGAAAAGATGTATATATACACAATGGAATATTACCCGTAAAAAAGAATGAGATAATGCCATTTGTAGGAACCTGGGTAGACCTAGAGGTTATCTAGATAGACCTAAAGTACAAAAGTGAAAGAGTCACTCAGTCATGTCTGACTCTTTGCAACCTCATGGACTGTAGCCCACCAGGCTCCCCTGTCCTTGGAATTCTTCAGGCAAGAATACTGGAGTGGGTAGCCATTCCCTTCTCTAGGGGATCTTCCTGACCCAGGGATCAGCTTGGGTCTCCTGCATTGCAGGCAGATTCTTTACTGTCTGAATCACTTACATGTGGAATCTAAAATATGACACAAATGAACTTATATTTACGAAACAAATAGACTCAAGGCGGCAGGGGAGAGACATATTGGAAGTTTGGGATTGGTAGGTGCAAACTATTATACAGAGGATGGGTCAGCAGTAAGGTCTTACTGTATAGCACAGGGAACTATATTTAACGTCGTGTGATAAACCATGATGGAAAAGAATATGAAAAAATATACATATCTAAATTACCTTACTATACAACAGAAATTAACACAACTTTGTAAATCAACTATACATCAATAATGTAAAAAAAAAAAAAAAAAAAGAGGCAGGTGTTAGAGATGCCAGAAAGAGGGACTGAAAAGATGAGAAGGGAAAGAGTAAGAACAGCTGAGATGGCATGGGAAGGAACAAAGAGGAAAAGAGAAGGGACGGTGTGGGAGGTAGGAGAAAAGGAGGCATCGGAGAGAACAGAGAGAAGAGGAGGGAGAGAAGACTAGGGGCTTGGTGGATGCTGTCTCTGAAGATGCGTGACCTAGAGGGAAGAACAGAGAGGAGAGGAGAAACAGGGAAAAAGGAAAAGAATAACGAGCTGTGAAGGGTTGTCACACAGAAATGTGAATGAGGAAATGTGATGAGAAAGAATCAGGTCCTGAGGGGAGGAAAGAGGGATGAAAAGATGCGCAGTGGTCCACACGGGAGAGATGTGAATAAGCTGGGAGGAGAAAAAAAGATGTGCAGGCTCCCTTATCTGAGCAGAGAGCAAATTAAACCGACGATGAATGCCGGTTCTCCTTGCTGTCCTAGCTAAAACAGTGACGGCACCCTCTGTGGGTGAGACTTGCAGGGAAAAAGGATCTGACCTGGACCATGCCCCACCCCAACCCACTCCACCACCTGTGTGTGTGGAGTGCACACACACACACACACACACCCTGGGGGTTTTGGCAATTAACAGAAGGGCAAATGCCTTACCTCTTTATCCCCAAAGATACATCCAGTTTTTCCTACATCTACAGCTCAGTCAGAAAAGGACAACTGACCTAAAAAAAAAACAGAAGCAAAAACTACAATGGGCATTTACAGTAGAGATCTTGCTGTTGTTGTCTAGTTGTTAAGTCATGCCCAACTCTTTGTGACCCCATGGACTGTAGCCCGAGAGGCTCATCTGTCCATGGGATTTCCCAGGCAAGAACACTGGAGTGGGTTGTGATACTTACAGCCAATAAGCATGTGAAGACATACTCAAATCCCAGTGTTAATCGGGGAAACGCAAAGCAAGACGGTGCGATACAATTTCAGACCCATTCAGTTGTCAAAAATAAATGGGCCAAAGCAAATGTTGGAGAAGATGGGAATCAATAACCTCACATATAGGGCTTTCTCTGGTGGTCTAGTGGATACAAATCTTCCTGCCAATGCCAGGGGCATGGGTTTGATCCTGGGTCCAGGAAAGATCACACATGCTGCAGGGCAGCTAAGCCCACACACCACAAGTACTGAGCTGGAGTGCCTAGAGCCTGTGCTCTGCAATGAGAGAAGCCACGGCAGTGGGAAGCCCAGGCACCTCAGGAAGGAGTAGCCCCTGCTCGCCACAACTACAGAAAGTCCACGTGTAGCAACAAAGACCCAGCGCAGCCAAAAATAAAAACTAACTTTTAAAAATTAAAAAAAATATTTAAATAACCTCACATGGGGGTTATAAATTGGCACAACCACTCTGGATCTATAAAGTTCAGAAACAACGCAAACAAAATGATGTATGGTTTAGGCATGAACATCTGTTAGTAGAATTATTTCTGTAATAAACAGAAAACAAACACAAAATTCAGAAAATTCGTGTTGCTTTTGATCTTGGGAGGCAGGGGGATGGGATTCAGGTAGATTTAAAGTACTAGCACTGTTGTAGCGTTTGAAGTAGTGGGATGTACAGACAGATACTCATTCTATTATTAATAAATACAACTTAAAAGGGACATGCAAAAAGACAACCAGCAGGATAGGAGAAAATATTCACAAATCATATACCTGAAAAGAGTCTAGTACATAGCATATATAAAGAACACTCACAACTCAACAACAACCAAACATTTTAAAGATGAACAAAGGACTTCAGTTGACTTTCCTCTTGGAGTTGGTTGCCATTTCCTGCTCCAGGGGATCTTCCTAATTCAGGGACCAAACCCGCCTCTCCTGCATCTTCTCCATTGGCAGGAGGATTCTTCTGCTGAGCCACCAAGAAAGTCCAACTGATACAATAGTATTATCCAAACTACAGACCATCAGAGTTTTCCAATTGTCCCCCTTATATGCTATATAGGATGCAACCCAGGGTCACATGCTGCATTTAGTTATCCTTTGTCTCATCAATTATCTTTTTTAATTTCATCTAATCTGGAAGAATTCCTCAGGTTCTATGTCTTGAGTAACTTTGCGTCCTGATCAACAGAAGTCTGCTCTCTTTGGATACACACTCTTATCACGTCCTAGGTGAATACATGATGTCCCAAACACGGGACTCAATCAGGCCTCCTGTGTCCCAGGAGAGGTTGTGGCTCATCGGTGGAAGGCAAGACTGTGTGGAGCCTGCTGGGTGGAGCTGAGGTCTCTGAGAGCCTCCATAGAAACCTAAAAGCCACTAAGAGGAATTCAGGGACATCCAAGGGGAAACAGGAATGGGAGCAGAGTTGCAGGTGCGGGAACGAAGGGGAAGGACCAGTCTGGACCCCCAGGGCCAGCTGGCAAACAGGGATCCGGGGCTTCTCACACATGCAGACGCCCCCTGCCCCCTAACAAGGAATCCCGCTTCTAGTGCTGCCCCCTGCCTCCGGCCAGTCCTCCTTCCTATGCCTACAGGCTTGCCCTTTCTCTCGGACATGCAGACACCACTACTGCCTTCAGCCTCACCCACCTCAACCCAGGCAGTAAGCACCTCTGCTTCCTGAAAGGGGATGGTAGAATTCCAGCCTGCCTCCCAGAGAGAAGCAAGATTAGGGCATCAGGTCTTTCGTCTGTTCACCTGCCTCTGATACGAGGCAGCACTCCTGGATCTTGCCTGACCTGAGGCTGTCCTGTCCATCTAGTGCCAGGTGCCCTTGGCCCACTAGGCCCTCAGGATGAATTAGGAATTCTGGTAATTTTCATTCACTGCCGCTTACACCCTGCACCTGCTCATGTTTGTTCCTCCGTGTGTATTCTCATGGGTCCTGTGGGCTTGTGCCTATTATCACATGCTTGTTGCATGCTTTCCCCACAGAGGATATGCTTTATTCTACAGAGAATGTGTGTGTGCATCTTTATAGGGGGCCTATATGGAAGGCCCACGAGTCTTCTCCAAGGTGCTGAAAGCTCACCATTCAAGACCCACATCCACTCAGCCTCCCAACTGAGTTACTCCTCCAGGAAGACTTCTTGGATTGGCCCCACCTCCTCTTCAACTGGGGAGGGGGGGATGCAACATCCACTGCCTATGCCTTCAAGCCCCCAGGCCCCCTCCCCTGCACTTGGCCCTGCAAAGCCTGGCCCCACTTGGCCTCACCTGTGCAGATCCTAGATTCACAATTCAGGACTGAGAGCCCATCCGCTTGACCAGGACCTCCTGACTGGACAACAGGCACCTGGCCAGGGAGGGAGGCTGCACGCAGCCAGAGAGGTGACCTGGCACCAGATGAGGAAGTGCACAGTTGAGAAAACCCAATGACACAAGAAAATAAGGAACTAACACAGATTAAAGAAATCAGCAAAACACAGGGCAAAGGAAAAAAACATGGCAAGAATAAAAATTCTGACTCTTTGGGAGCATTAA